AGATGGCAGGAATGTAAAACTGGAATATACTTTATGCCTTTTTGGAAAGTATTCCACTTCTGATCATTCATCCTAAGGAATCAAATCAAAATTCACTTTTTAAAAAATATTTGCTCTTCTAAGAAGTGAAAGTATAGTGTTTTAAATTGCCTTTTTTTTTATATTTATTTATTTATTTTGGGGGGAGTGCAGAGGGAGAGAATCCTTAAGCAGACTCCCTGCTGAGCGTGCAGCCCGACAGGGGGCTTGATCCCACTACTCATAAGGTCACAATAGGAGCTGAAACCAAGAGTCAGACACCCAACGGACTGAGCTACCCAGGCACCCCAAGTTACTTTTCTTTCTTTAGAGTATCTTGCTTTGTGGAATTTTGTTTTCGTTTTTGTATAATCAAGTCTTTAACCTTTTCCATTTGGTTTCTGACTTTGGTTTCATACTGAAAAAGATTGTATTACTATATTTACACATTTCTGTTGAATTCTTTCCTCAGTGACTCAAAATGCCCCACTTACATGTACTAAATCGCCATAACAGATCTTTTGGTTTCTCTACTATATTCCATTTATCTCTGAGTCAGTTTATTCCTAAGCTGCCACATTTGTTAAACAGTTTTTTTCCATAACTTACATACAATAAAAATTCACATATCTTCATTGTATACTTTGATGAGCTTTGACAAATGTATGCACCATCCTAATCAAGATAAAAGATATTTGCATCACTCTAAAGTTTCCTCCTTGGGGATGCCTGAGTGGCTCAGTCAGTTAAGCATCTGCCTTCGGCTCAGGTCATGCTCTCAGGGTCCTGGGATCAGGCCCCACATCGCATTGGGCTCCCTGCTCAGCGGGGAGCCTGCTTCTCCCTCGCCTTCTGCCCCTCCCCTGCTTGTGCGCGCTCTCTCTCTGTCAAATAAATAAATAAAAATTTTTAAAAAAATAAAATAAAATAAAAAGTTTCCTTTGATCCCCTATGTGATTAGTCATTCCCAGCTCCAGTCCCCAGACCAAGACAACCACTGATCTGCTTTCTGCCACTATATATTAGTATTACTAGTACTAAACTATTGGTATTCTTTTAAAATGTTACACTTCTTTGCTTAACATATTTTGAGGTTCATCTGTATATCAGTAGTTTGTTCCTTTTTATTCTTAAATAGTATTCCTTTATATGACCATACCACAGTTAGTATACTAATACCACATTCACCTGCTGCTAGACTTTGTGTTGTTTCCAGTTAGGGGCCATTATGAATGGAGTTGCTACAAACATTCATGTAAAAACATGTCTTTGTGTGGACATACATTCTCATTTCTCTCGGGTAGATACCTAGGAGAGGAATTACTAGGTCTTATGGTAAGTGTATGTTTAACTTTATAGGAAACTAGCAAATTTTTTCAAAATCACTGCACTGTTCAACGTTCCTACCACCATAGTGGGGTCAGCTGCTCCACATCCTTGTTAGCACTTATAAAAAAGGTCAGCCATTTTAATTTGTCATTCTTTTGTCTGTAAGCAGTCTTTTTAATTAGCATTTGCCTGATGACTAATGATGTTGAGCATATTTTCATGTGTTTACTGGTCATTTGTATATTTTGTGTGTGGGAGGTGTCTGTTAAAAATACTTTGCTGAATTCTTAATTGGGGTGTTTGTCAACTTACTGAATTAAAAGAATCCTTATATACATGGGTATAAGTTCTTTGTCAGATATATGTGGTGTTAATATTTTTATCCCAAATCCCAGCATTTCTTTTCATTTTCTCAATATCTTTTGAAATTTGTATTTTTGTTTCCTAATTAAGAAATCTTTGCTACCCTAACATCATAGAGTTTTTCATACATGTTTCTTCTAAAAATGTTATAGTTTTGCCTTGTACATTTAGGTCTATAATGTATTTCATGTTAATTTTAAGAATAATAGTTCATTTTTTCCCAAATGTACATTAGGCTGTTTCTTCATCATTTCTTGAAAAGTCTGTCCTTTTCCAATTTAATTACTTGGCTCCTTAGTCAAAAATTAATTGACCATATATGGATATGTCTTTTTCTGAGCTGTTTTGTTCCATTGATCTGTGTATCTGTTCTTATGCCAGTTAGACACTGTCTTCATAAGATGATGTAAGTCCTCAGACTTTGTTCTTTTTCAAAATTGTTTTCATTATTCTAGATCCTTTAAATTTCCATATAAGTTTTAAAATCAAATTGTTAATTTCTTACCCAAAAAAGCGTGCTGGGATTTTGATTGGAACTGTTTTGAATCTATAGATTACCTTGCAGAGATCTGACATCTTAACCGTATTGTTTGTGTCCTTCATCCACAAGCAGAATGTATGTCCCCATTTACAGCTAACCCTTGAATAATGTGGTCAACCTCCTATACAGTCGAAAATCTGCACGAAACCTCTGACTCCCCAAAGTCTTAACTACTGATAGCTTCCTGTTAACCAAAAACCTTTCCAATGACATAAACAGTCTATTAATACTTATTTTGTGTATGTATCATATACTATATTCTTAAAGTAAGCTAGAAAAAATGTTAAGAAAATCTTAAGGAGGGGCGCCTGGGTGGATCACTCAGTTAAGCGGCTGCCTTCAACTCAGGGGACTCCTTGCTTAGCATGGGGGGCCTGCTTCTCCCTCTTACTTTGCCAATCCCCCTGCTTCTGCCCTCTCTCTCTCTCTCTGTCAAATAAATAAAATCTTAAAAAAAAAAAATCATAAGGAAGAGAAAATGCATTTACAGTACTTTACTATATTCATCAAAAAAAAATACACAATTAAGTGGACCCATGCAGTTCAAATCTGTGTCGTTCAGGGGTCAACTGTACTTTCATCATCTTTAGCACTATTTTGTAGTTTTATGTGACTAAACATTGTACATATATTGTTAAATTTATCTCATGTATTATATGCTTTTTTTTGACGCTGTTGTAAATGCTCATGGACTTTTATTTCAACTTCAAATTCTAATTCTACATTGCTAACATATAGAAATGCAATTTTCTATTCTAAGATTGCTAAACCATCTTACAGTTCTAGTAGCTCTTTTTGCATACTAGGATTTTCTCTGTATAAGACCATGTGGTCTGCAAATAAAGACTGTTCTGCTTCTTTTTTTTCCGCCCCCAAACTATATCCTTTTTTATTCCTTCCCCCACACCTTCATGCCCTGACTAGTACATCCAATACAGTACTAATTAGAGGTGGTCAGAATGACCATCCTTAACCTCAGTTCCAATCTTAGGAAGAACACATTCAGTCTTTCGCCATTAAGAATGTTATCTGGAGTGGGGTGCCTGTGTGGCTCAGTCGGTTAAGTGGCCCACTCTTGATTTTGATCTCAGGGTCCTGGAGTCGAGCTCATCACTCAGTGTGGAGTCTGCTGGAGATTCTCTCTGTCCCTCCCCCTGCGCTCATGCACTTTCTCTCTCTAAAATAAATAAATCTTAAAAAAAAAAAAAAAGAACGTCGGGCGCCTGGGTGGCTCAGCCCGTTAAGTGTCTGCCTTTGGCTCAGGTCATGATCCCAGGATCCTGGGATCGAGCCCCACATCGGGCTCCCTGCTCAGTGGGAAGCCTGCTTCTCCCTCTCCCTCTACTGCTACCCCTGCTGTGCTCTCTTTTTCTCTGTCAAATAAATAGATAAAATCTTAAAAATAAATAAAATGTTATCTGGAGTTTCTCATAGATTCCTTTTATCAGCTTGAAGAGTCCTTCTATTGCTAGCTTGCTGAAAGTTGTTATAAATTAATTTTGTCAGATTTTTTCCTGTATTTTATGAGACAGTAGTATTTTTCTCTTTAGTCAAAGGATTTTTGAATCTTTGTTTATGAGGGATATCTAGTAGTGTGTTAAGTCTTCCATATTCTTTCTGGTTTTCTATCTAGTTGTTATTGCAATTATTGACAGAGGAGAGGTGAAATTCCCAATGATAATTGTGGATTATATGTGTCTTCCTGTGGTTCTGTCAGTTTGCATCATGTGTTTTGAAGCTCTGTAGTCATACAATCATACATAAAAGTCATTATGTCTCTTTGTAAATTGAATGATCATTTTGAAATATGTCTGTCTCCGGTTATGTATTTTTTCCTGAAGTCATCTTTGTCTGAAATTAATACTGCCATTTCAGACTCTCTATGATCAATATAGAATTACATTTTACTTTGACCCTTTCTTTATATTCAAAGTATATTAAACACATTACAGTTAATGTTATTATCTGTGATACTAGATTTAATTCTGTCATTTGCTATTTGTTTTTCTCTATCCCCTCTGTCATTTATTCCTTTTTTCCTTCTTACCTTTTTTTTTTGATTGAATATTCTTTTATTATTTCATTTTATCTCCACCCTTAGCTAAATAACTACATGTGTTGGGTTTGTTTTTATAATTGTTGCACTAGAGTTCCAGCATGCCTCTTTAGCTTACCAGACTACCATCAAACAATAGTACACCATTTCATTTATAGTTTAAGACTCAGTAATTTTCTTCCATTTACCCCCTCCAATCCTTTGAGCTATTGTAAAAATTTCACTTCCCCAAATGGTGCTATATATAGATTATCTCCCAATACATTGTTGTTATTTATGCTTTAAATATTCAGTTATGTTTTAAATTAATTTTAAATTTTTTCATTTTTTAGATCTACTTTGTTCAAAAACTAAACATAAAATTGCCCTAAAATTTAAATCGATTAATTTTTTCCAAAATGAGTGAAACATCTCACAACAATAAAAGAGAAGTACTAGGTATACATTATTACTTTTCTGCTAGACTGTATTCCTTGAATTCTTTTTTTTTTTTATTTTTTTTATTAACATAATAATGTATTATTTGTTTCAGGGTACAGGTCTGTGATTCACAGCGCTCACCATAGTACCTACCCTCCCCAGTGTCCATCACCCAGCCACCCCATCCTTCCCACTCCCCTCCACTCCAGCAACCCTCAGTTTGTTTCTGTATTCCTTGAATTCTTAAACACATCTTTTACCTTTCTCCTATAGGTGAAGCCTTGAAAGGAAAGATCACAGTCCACAAGAATAAGAAAGATCCACGTTCTCTCATTGTGACCCTCACATTGAATAATTCAACTCAAACTTATGGTCTCCAGTGAAAAGACTACAAAAGCACAACTAACTTGTGGGTTTTAGTATGGGGGTGGGTTATGGGTAGGGGGTAGAAAGAGGGGGTTTTATGTGAGCATGTGGATGGATGATGGATCCTTTCCTAATGAGTCTCCTCAATACTAGAGACACATGGTAGGAATCTGATATAATTCAGCTAAGGAAAGGAACAACAGATCCTAGTGGACCACCTACATAATCACAGTCTTGGAAGTCTGGTCAGCAAGATTTTACTAAATGTAACCATTATATTGAGTTTAACTATACTGAAAATCATTTAAATAGGCCTAAATTTGAAACAGAGATAGTCTTTTGTTGTTTTTAATGTTTCTTACTATAAATTTTAAACACGAGTAACTGATTATTTGGATAATGTTTTATTAAACTAGTAACTATACACAAGCTATTATACATTTTATTGCAGATTTCTACTCTGAGGAGTAGTTTTTAATTGTATTATTTGCTAGAATATCAGAATATAATTAAAGAACTGTTAGTATACCTACAGTTGTGTTATTTACAGTTATTGACTCAATTTGAAATGCAGAATAGGAAACATTCAATCAAATATGTACAACTATTAACATTATAAAATGGTATTTTAACATACTAAAGCCTTTTATAAAATCAGAAGCATTTAAAACAAGTCTTAGCAAAGGAATCATCGTTAAGAAAACGGATTTAAGGACAGCTGGGTCATATACCTTTTTTCAGTTAAACAGCTGGTTCTTTTTCAAAATAAGACATACACAAGGCAGCTTCTTTTTCAAAATAAGACATACACAAGGCAGCATAGCGTAGTGTTGAGCAGTGTGAGCTCCGGAGTCACTGCCTAGGCGCAGGCTCTGGTGACAGCTCTTACTTGCTGTTGGATCTCAGTCATGTTCCTTAACCTCTCTCTCCCTTTATGAATGTGCCAGTTCATGAGTTAATACATTTCAACTACTTCAATCAGTGCCTGGCACATAGAAGACAGTCAGTAAATGCTAGGTGGTCGGTATCATTAGGCAGTCAAGGATCCCTTTCATGGAATATGTGCTATCTACATTAGATTCGTTGGGGAATCAAATACTACCCTTAAGTACATGAATGGGTGGGAAGATTTTAACAGAAATTAGTATTTAATGTAGCGAAAACTATTTTGAAAATTGTCTTTTGGTCTTAGAGAACTGGACTTCTAGCAATGGGAAAATTAACCCCTTCAAATGCTGTATTTCAGGCCATCGTCTTTTAAGTCTTTCTATAAGCATGATTTCTGTTTTCACTGGGTTAAACCAGCCAACTTGTTTTTGATTTAGAACATTACTAGAAATATGTGGTGCTGATAATATAGCTCAAAGTACTTTAAATTTTGTCCGGAATGACTTCATGTACAAATTTGAGTGTGGTAGAGTGATAAAAATCAGGAACCCCCGTGAAAAGATTTAATGGGTTTTTAAAGTAACCAAAAACCGTCTGATTTTTTTTTTTGCTTTATTTTTGTTTCATGTAAGTGCATAACAAATATTTTTTACTATTTAAAAAAGTATTTCTCAAAAATGATTTTTTTAAAAAACTCTTGTTAGATTTGCCTAGGATTTTTACCCCGTGGCTCTTTTGATTTTCTCCTGGTTATAAATAGGCCAACCATAGTTGGTAGATCTCTGTTCTTTTCAGTTTGCCTTCCCAGGCTGAAACATTCTAATGTGTGTACCAAACATTTTAAGAGAACATGAGAATCCAAATATTAGCTCTTCGATTGGAATTTCAGCCGTTAAACTGCTACAAAAAAATTAAAACTTCACCGCCCATGACAATGATAAATACACTGTCCTTTCATGCTGTGACAGATGCACATTTATGGATAGCAAACTACTCTGTCCCAAGGATTTTATTTCATTTCCATTAAGAAAATATTTTTCCTCCTGTTTTTGTTTGTGAAATTAACATTGTTATTTTGTAGTGTGTAGGATGCATCCAACTAGTCATCTCTGTTTACTAGGATAGTATTTTCTGGAAGGATTATTTCAACAAAACAACTCTTGAGGGTGTACAGCATTGCACAAAGTGGTCCAATAAGGAGCCCCAAGTGCTAGGAATACATTGTGAAATAAATGAGGGAGCTATCATTTCACTTTGAAATAATCCCTGTTTGAGAGGGAGGGCAAGTAATTCTGGTCCTACAGGGTTATTTGCTTCTTACCACTTAATCTAGATTAACCAATCTGGTCCGCCTGTGTTTTCCATTATTCTACCTTTCTCTCTTTTTAAAGTGGAATATCTAAAATGTATTGTGTGAAGTTACTGCCTTGAGCTCAGCCCATACTAATCTCACCAGTCAACTATCAAGTGGAGGGAGTGTGCCAATAGTACTGCTAAAAACTCTGAATAGGAAAGATTAAAACAGGATCATATATCACTTAGCTCCTGCCAGTCATGCCGGAAGTGATCATTTAAGCTGCTTGGCTGTAGCTTAGATCCAGAACATCTAGAGATCCAGATTTTTCTGTGAAGAATACCTCAAAAACATACTAAATATACAATACTGTCACGGAATTTGAATCTGTGATGAGAGGCAAGGTCAGTGAGATAGCTGAGGTCAAGCATTGCCTACCGTGGGTTGGCAAACTATAGCCTGGGGCCAAATCCACCCCGTTGCTCATTTTGATAAGGCTTTATTGGAGCAGAGATAGCGAATAGTGTAAGTAGAATATTTCTTCACAAGATTCATTAATGGCCACGGCAGAGAATATACACCCAATAGAACACATTACAAAGACTATAGTTTTTACAGACTTGAAGCTAAGCAGCTAGATGTATTTCATTTATGAGACTTAGAGGATTAACCAAGACTTACCCTAATGTAAAATATATATATATATAAGTACTTACATAATTGAGACTGGTGTCTGGAATTGTAACAGTGCCCTGTGCAAAGGAAATTAGCACAAAACTTTGAAGCTGATTATCAACTTCATTTAGAAAGTTTTAATAAGACCAGAGAGAGGTGCAGACAGAACTTTTCAAAGTTAGAGATGGTTGAACCCCACCCACGAGCTACAGACTAAACTACGAAGCACTTCTGTGAATCTCACTAACCTCTGGGTGTCTTAAAAGGGCTCTGGACCCAAAACTAACTGTCAACATTAGGAGAGACAGTTGGGGAAATTGCTTTATATCAGCATTTTTCAACATGCCTTGAGGCTCCCAATGCCTGCCTTGCTTGGTTCTCACCCTAGCATGTGGTGTTCCTGTTGTATTAATGCACGAGGCCCCATGGGAAGGTATGTAAAGTCCCTGCCCAGCTATCAGATGAGGCCATGTTGCCTTGGAGGCTCATGTATTTTTAATGATTTTGTGTTTGTTTCCTTACTATAAAGTAAAGGTAAATTTTTCCAAGCAGAATGATGAATAAGCTAAGTACTTTTAAAGTGTCTTAGCAATTGATTTGTCCTTTCCAATAAAGTTTTGGGTGCAAAAAAAAAAAAGCCTACCAAAGAAACAGTTTTCATATAGTGCCTTAACATCTTGGCTAATGTGGAACAGTTAGCATGCATTTAGCTCTAGAGTATACCTAAATATATACAAAAATAGTCTATCATTGAGTTCATTGTAATTTTTTAAAATTAAGATAACAATAGCTTAAATAGTAAAGGAAGATGAAGCCCCAGCCTCCCTTGTTCTGCATCCCAGTCTCATATCCCTGTGCAGTTCTGTATGTCTCCTCTTTTCTCTCTGAAATCCCTTGCCCTCCTGAGGACATTGCTTCCCCCAAAGGCCTCTTAAATAGTGACTGTCCTCTTCCACACCACTTATCTCCCTACACTTGGATGTGCAGTAAGTGACTTCCTGGCTTTTGGTTGTCAGTTATAGACCATTCTCTCCAAAATCCTTCCTACCCCCTCCCATCTTTGTCTTTTGTCATCAAGACTGTAACACAAACCATCTTACCTATCAACTCTCCACCTCCAGATTAATCTCCATTCCTTGAAAGTTTTAACTGCCACCACTGCCCCACACTGCTCCTGCTTCATCAGTGAGTTTAAGATTTCATGTGAATGATCCTTTTATACGCTGACCTTTTGTCTCATTGACCTCATCCAGTGATCTTGCCTATAACCTTAACTCAGCCCCTCCTATGGTCATCCTGTAGAACTGGCCAAACAAGAACTCAAACTCCTGTATAAATCTCAACATTAAGTATCATTCTAACTACCTCTTTTCAGCACACTCTCTTTTGTAATCCACTTCCAGCAATCCTTCAACTCCACCAAGACCAAAATCCATTCATTCATACCACATGTCTTCCATCCTTCACCTCTTCATTTTTACACCTCTCTCTTGGATTGGCTTAAAATCCATAGGCCATCATTATAAACACCCCCTTTCATATAGCTGCAACTTCTTCGCCTCTCCTTCACTTTTCTGTACTCTTGACTAAACCACAGTTCTGCTTCTAACCCAAACACATGACTGCACATATGCAGCTCAGTGAGGCTGGAGGAAAACACTCAACCATACTGATGGTCTAATCTTAAATTTATGACTCCTAATCTCAGGTGTCCAATAGTCATTTCCCTGGTCTGTTTATCTCACAGACTCCTCAGTGACTATTTTATACCTTCTCTCCGCCAACCTCCAGAACATCCTTCTCATTCTTTCAGCTGAAGTCCTTGTTTCCTGTTTTACTGAGAATATAGGACAAATCTGAGAACTTCCACAGGTTTCCATACCACATGCCCCAGCCGATCTTTATGCCTGTGCATTGCCTCCCCACTAAGTGAACTTCCGTTGCTTCTAGCTAAGCCAGCTTCTCTCCCTGTGTCCCACATCTCCTTCTCTGAGTAGTTCAAAGTTAATTGCTTCAGCATGTTTCCCCTGTATCATCAGATTTTCCCTCCACCTCTCTCCAGTTAACATACAAATAGGCTATTATTTCACCTATGATATATTTTTTTTAAGTAGACTCCATGCTGGACATGGAGCCCAACACAGGGCTTGAACTCATGACCCTGAGATCAAGACCTGAGCTGAATTCAAGAGTGGGACGCTTAACCAACTGAGCCACCCAGGTGCTCCTATGATGAAAAAAAAATTAACTCCACTTTTCCCTCTGCTATTGCCACATTTCTAGTTTTCCTTTTACATTGAGACCACTCAGAGTTTTCCATGTTCATGGTCTGTGCTGCTTCTCTTCCCATTTTTTGAACAACTGTATTAAGGTATAATTTATATAAAATAAAATGCACATGTTAAGTGTACAGTATGACTTGGCAAATGTATGCATATACTCAACACCCCTGTTACTATTTAGAACACTTCTTTCACACCAAAAAGTTCTCTTGTGCTACTATGCAGTCAACATGTATCCCCACTCCCTTTTCCAGGCAAACACTATCCTGATTTCCATCAAGATAAATTTGTTTTGCCTGTTTTAGAACTTCATGTAAGTGGGGTCATATAGTATGTACTCTTTGATTTCCACCTTCTTTTAGCACAGTGTTTTTTGAGATTCATCATGGTTAT